GAAGTAAAATGATTGGTAATTCTTCTTTTAAAGTTAATACATAAGGTGGTAACTCACTAAGCATTAATGAATTAAGAAATTCTGTTGAATATATGTCTTCATGTGCTGAATTGTACGTAGCTATGCTTTGATTTAAAGCATCAGCACTATAGTAAGTTTTTGCCTTTTCGGGAAACTAAAAAAAAATTTTAGCATTTAGCATATTGACTTTGGCATTATATGGGGCAAGAATGCTTCTTTCTATTATATATATTGAGTTATATGTGTGAGTTTGCAAGTCTGGATAAATGAAATCGATAAGACTTTGACATGATTCATTGTGTACAGCTATATTTTGAGATAGATTTATATAGCTACTATTTGGCATGAGTTTAGATACATGACCTTTATCAATCAAACGTAGCCAGTTTGCAAACTTTCTTTATGCCACAACATTTGAAGAAACTATAGTATTTAATGCTGTTTGCAAGCGCATATTTACTGTTAACTTCTTCACTTTTATATGATACCATAAAGATGAACAACAAAAGCTCACATTAATGATATCTTCTTGTCTACCTTTAGGAACTACTGGAAGGATTTGACAGAAATCACTACTAAAAACAAATACTTTGCCACCAAAAAGTAAATTTCTCAAACGTTGATCAACAGAAATCATTATATCTCTTAAGGTACGATCAATAGCTTCGAATGTATGATGATGCAGCATTGGTGTTTCGTTCTAAATAATAAGAGTTGTCTGCTTTAGAAGCTCTGCAAGATCGAAATTCACAGGAATATTGCAAGTAGAATCTTCATCTGGATCAATAGAGATTTTAAACCGAGAATATGTTGTGTAGCCTCTATCAAGCAATAGAGCAACAATTCTGGACAAAGTGACTGCTAGAGTGATACTTTTATGTGATCAAACCTTTGCAAGAAGAATGTTGTATAGAAACGTTTTGCTAGTTCCTGCAAGCCTATCTATAAAAAAGTATGCAGAATTATTATTTTCTACTGCTTGGATTATTTCATCAAAGATGGTATGTTAGTTATTATTTAAACAGGTTAAATTCAGTTCTACAAACTCTGCAAGCATGGATATATTATAATTCAACTCATTGTTAACTAAAGAGTTTCCGAATTTACGAACAGAATCTGGACATAGCATATTTAGAAAGTCTTTTAAAGATTTATTATTTTGCTGTAACAGAATATTTTCTAATTAAAGTAGTGCTTCATTTTTAATTTTCTGATCAGTTAATTGCAGATCAGAATTCTGTGATTGTTGATGTGTGTAATACAATATATCATCTGTAAGCGCTATATGATGCTTTGACTACAGACGCTCAGGTTCGTTAGGTTGGTAGTTGCTTAAAATAATAGCAAATAAGTGACGAAGTTGACTTCCTGATCATATTTTAGTGGCATCTTCTAAGCATTTATCCTATTCAGAGTCATCTTGTAATAGGCCTAGAGCACGGCATACATTTTTAAAAGTAATGTGTAAAAATCCGTTCACAGTTCTTAGATGATCAAATGATTTTGTTCCATGCACGATACTTAAAAGTAGGCATAAGTAAAAATGCTTGCTTGCTTCTGGATATATGAAGTACATGTGACTGATAGTATTGCTCTTGATATGTAGATACCATTTTTTGGTTTTTCTGTTAAAAACAAATGCTTGTGGAAATTGAGTATAGGTGTAGTTACTTGCTAAAGCGGTAAGTGTTTGATCTCTATTAGTTTCAAACCAAGCTATTAGTGTTGTTTTTTTATTTTGAGATCGTTGTATGATAGTATCAACAGATTTATTGTCAGAGAAGGTAACTAAGTATTATCCAGGGAGATATACAACTAAGCGCATAATGTCTGGTGATTCATTATATATTTTAAAGTATATTATATGCCAAAATACTTCAGAAGCTAATACATAGCATATATCAATATATTGCGTGATTTTGTCAGATACATTTGTGATTTGTACTTCATTGTTATTATTACTGTTACTACTAATTGCTATAGTCACTTTGTCATGACCCTTATACACATGCTTAAAAAGGTATTTTACCACACAAATTGAAGAGAAAATTTCAACGTTGATATAATATTGACATTTTTTTGCAAAGATATAGGTTGTGCGGCACAACCTAGCGATTATCAAAAAGAGCGCCTCTTACTTCAGCTAATTGACCATTATTATGATGATGATAAATTGGATACCTATCATCATTCTGGCAAGTAACTTGTTAAAACTGTTTTGAAAACATCTTTAAACATTTTTCGTTATACATACATAGAGCATTTATGTTGCTTGCTCTATATAGACCATATATCATATAATTTATTAGGTCTTATACTCTTTAGAAAATTTGGCAGGATTAGGTATTTTAGCCAAAACAATATGATCGAAATCTTCTGTAGTTTGGGGTTTGTCCTTTTGCGACAATATGAACAACATATAGGTATGCAATAAGCCATACATCTAAGCTTCAATGACATAGATATACCCAAGTATACGCCCAAAAATTCCTTTTTTTAAAATATTGTTAAGCAATGCTATTAACTTTAACCGAAATACTCACGTACAAAGGTCAGGACGGTCTTGTGCAGTTTAACCTAATAATAATTCTGCTTGAATCTCAGGCCAGTTTGGATTGCAGGTTATCATAATAAAAAGATCGGGTTTGTCCAACTGTCTAACTATTGTCATGGCATCTTGATACAATTGTTTTATATGTCGTAGACCTTCAATAAAACCTAATAATAGTATAATTCTACACCCAATACAGAGACCACTTGGTAGTTTGTCAGTTATTGATAATGCATCTTGAAGTCCACTATACAATTCAGCACGAATTGTTTTCTGATTAAATTTCAAAAAATTCAATCGGCTTTGTTCGATACAAGCATAAGCGTCAATGATATATTGTTGGAAAAGATGGCCATACTTGTATAATGCAAAAATTTTGTCTAGCGACTGAATTCGCAATATCAAATGATATGCATAGTACTGTATCATAAATACGTAACCTCTAGGCATTCTGTCATTTGTAGATTTATCTTCATTTATGCTATTTGTATAATCATCTTCATTTGTATTATATTGATTATCGATAGTTGCTAATATCTCTTGATAGTTTGTTTGACAAATACCAGGATGCCAACTGAATTCACTATGTGGAAACAACAAAACATAGTGTAAAGGACTATAGCTTTGATGAATTTCAGAAATGTGCTAAAGTTTACCACCTTGTTTGTGTAATACAATATCTCGATTTGAAGGTTCAATGTCTTGACTATAAGAACAGCAACCTCAGAGGCAATAGACATATTATATTGAAGCTCTTGTCACGTTTTGGTTATAATAATTTTTAATTCTTGCGCAGAGATTTCCCTTAAGATTTGAGCTGCATTTTGGAATATGTGTATGTATGGGTTAATATTATGTAGCATTGTTTGAAGCTGTGCTAGAATACTTAAATCAAGACTGGGCATTAAATATTGCCTTTGTTGTAACTGCTCATTTGAATCATACATATAAATTTGAGCACATAACAGTCATTTACGATTCTCAGGAATAAGAGAGCCAATGTAATGGTATAATCTACCTTGTATGCGAAAATTATATATACCTTGCATTCTGGTGACATGTTCATCAATCTTGGTACTGATAGAAGTGAATACAAATGCAAAATTGTATATACAAATTTTCTTTCAAAAGTCACGTGCTCTTGGACTTTCATCAGTCAACAGAGTACGTATTAGTAATAAAGATGTTGCAATAGCAAGCACTGATTTTTAGCTTTTGCACAGCAAATGCTAAAAATCAGTGCTCGTTTTGTTCTCACCACTTTCTCTTCAATCCAATGCATTGCTTTGCATTCTGAATATTCAATATTCATACTTCTAATATTGTGTAGACGTACAGTATTTGAATTATAGTTGTTGTCACGTGCTGTATTAGAGACTTTATGAATTGGTTTATTTCGCTTTTTTCTGCGTAATTCAGGTTGTTCACTATTTTCAACAGCGTGACGGTGAGTATAAGCTTGTCTTTTGGCACTTCAACAATGCTTAGCTTCTTTGATAGTTTGATTAGAAATTCGGTAAGCATACACTTCTCTCTGGGTACTTCGATGCTGTTCAGTTTCTTCAACAGTTTCATTTGCATAATAACGAGCACAGGCTTCTCTTGCAAAACAATTTTTTTTCGTTCGCAAGGGCTTTTCAAATGTTCACTAGTAGACATTTCCTCTTGAGTACATGATATAGGTCTGGTATATCATTTTCATTCTAAACAGTTTTGAATTTCACGAAGCAGTTCAGATATAATATGTATATTTGAATCCATTTTTTTCATTAAATAAGTAAACAGAAATAAAAATAATTACATGTCGTGAATTGTTTTTTGCAAGTATTTATACTGTACTTGATAACTAGTGCTGATCATCAGAATAGCAAGTATATGCAGTATAATCTACTTGAGAATTGTATTTTAAAATTGTTATACTACAAAATGTATTGTTATATATATGTTGTACCCAAATGATAATCCTGTCCTGATTGCCAATTGGGACAGCCCAAATTAAAATTGCCCAAATCTAACCTTAACGTCTGGGCTAATTAATTTATAATTTTGGCCAGATTGTTATCTGGGAAAATTGTCATTTGGAGTATGACATATACACAGTATATACTATCAATCGTAAAAATGATGCTAAATAATTATTCAGCAATAAAAGTGTGTCAGAAGCTTTTTTGTCACAAAGGTTAAGTAATTCATTAAGTTAAATTTAAATCCTGTCTAATAATAGGCTTCGAATTGTTAACTATATAATATTTTTTTTTATTGAATATAGTTTTGTCAGCTTATATTAAAAGCAACATCGGAATATAGAAGATAAATAGTTACATGTAATAATTTTGTAGTTAGAGTTCAGTTTTATCAAACACTAACTAAACAAACTTACTAAAAATATATGGTATTTTTTATTCAAACTATGCTCTACTATCTCAATAATGAATACACTTATACCAGCTCCACAGGATTTATGATATAAGTTTCTATTACAGATTTTGAATAGGAAACTTAAAAAGGCTATATCGAATGAAAACGTAAAAAAAAACAAAATTACGTTTAACTGTTTTTTTTTTCTAGTCACTTTAAAAATATATAGCTTTCTTTAGATATACTATCTATCGTTTAAAAATTTTAGCCCTATATCTGTCTGCCTGTTCTTGTTATTAGCTAAATTTGTCATCAAAATCACTGAAACATGCCAAAATAAGCAGCACAATTCAGTATTAAATATATAATATTGGCCAAAGACAGATCATTGATTTGTTCGATAATAGCAGTACTGCTTATGAAACTATCTCTCACTTTTTAGAGCCTGTATTATATTAGAAAAAGATTTTAAATTTAAGAATTATATAAATAAATTGAATATATTAAACAGATAAAAAAAGGGATCTACTATTTCCACCATGAAAAATTGCTATTTCCACCATGGTTATACAAGATTTTCTAT